ACAGTGAACGGTGAACCAACAGTCAACAAAGCATAATCCATAAATTGAACGAGAGATAAACGGGGACCCTCATGGATTAAACGTGATTTGAGCGGTTGGTTACTGCCCTCACAAAAAAAAAAAATCTATGAGCACACAGTCAGGCAAATTAGAATAATTAGCGACCTCTAAATACTCTTGAATATAGCTCTCGAGCGATCCTGTGCCCTGCTCGAGAGCTAATAACAGTCTTGCGGTGTCGAAACCTGGCCAGTGTCCTGTAGAAAAGCTGCTGGATCCTTGTGTGGCCGAGTATTATGTTACGAGGTGAACGAGATGAGAGACGTGCAGATCTGTATGCAAGCTTTATTCAAAGACGCGGTAACAAAAAAGGCAAGGGTCAAACAATGGCAAACAGGTATATCGTGGGCAAGACACAAGAGTAGTCCAGAAAACAGGCAAGGGTCAATCAACGGCGAACATAATCCAACAGGGCAAGGCAAAGAGCTAATCCAGGTTCACAGCAATAGTCTAGGCAGGGGTAAACAGAGTCCGAACGGCGAGACAAAAGGGTAATCCGAAAAACACAGGCAATAATCTGAACACAGGAAAACAGGCATGGCGAGACTATGACTAGACTATGAAAACTAGAACTGGCTCCGTAGAGTAGCTATCGCTAGGAGAGTGATAAATGCTATACAATACTCGGCAGTTTGAGAAGGATCTGAGTGAGTGTAATATAAGGGCCTTTCGCACCGATTTAGTTCCAGAACTAAATGTACAGTACTAAAGTACTGGGACGATTTTGCGTGAACTATTTCCACAATATGCCGTAGACGAAGTCTTCAGGTAAATGCCGTTTATAAAAGCTCTCAGTATGTTCTTTCTCATGTAATGCTTAGAAATATAAAAATATCAAATGTTGCAGTCACAATTTATACACAGGAATGAATACTTAATGTAATATTATGAATTACGAAAACGTTATGCACTAGTAACAATCCAGACAGTATACTGTTCCAAATAATTAGTCATTCCTCATGTTATGCCACAGGGTAATCAAAATCTTCACTTTATATTTCATAATGCCTTATGCAGGTTTAATAATAATGGATTACTATGGACCTATCAAAAGTAGTACGTAGCTAGCTGTGACATTACACAGCATACCAAAAAGTGAATTAAGTTACCTACTTTGTTTAAGAGCTGTTAATCTGTTTCTTGTTAGTGTAACATCCGTCTACTCATGATTTTGGATCATACAATTACTCATGATTATTGAGTATTCATTACTCATATGATCATATTTTGGGTCATATAATTTACTCATATGATTTTGTGTAGTTATTCACTGGCAATGGAGCTGTGTTTTAAGATGTTACCTTATATGAAAATGTAGCTCACTAACAATGTACTGAATGTGTTTCAGATGTTGCTACGGATCAACTCAACGCTGTTCACCTGCTGTTTGGGTCCACAAGAGAATCGATGAGTGGTGGACAACTGTCGTGCCCTATTCACAGATGAGCAGTGGATCCAAAATTTCAGAATGTCTAGAGAGACATTTCACCACATCTGTCACCATTTGAAGTCAGCCTTAGAGAAAATGGACACAAACTATCGTGTGTCTGTACCTCTCCAAAAAAGAGTTGCTATTGTATTGTGGAAGCTCGCAACTAACTCAGAGTACAGAAGTGTGTCACATCTGTTTGGAGTTGGCATTTCAACTGCCTGTGACTGTGTTAAAGACTTCTGCTCCTCAGTTGAAAATATCCTGTTGCCTGAAGTCATTACGATACCGCAGGCAGAGAAGCTAAAAGAACTGTCCCTTAACTTTGAACAAAGATGGGGTTTACCACAGTGTGTGGGGGCTATTGATGGCTCCCATATCCCTATTCTGGCTCCCCAGGAATACCACACTGAATATTTCAATCGTAAGAGGTGGTATTCCATTGTGTTGCAGGCAGTTGTTGATGCTAAGGGGTTATTTTGGAATGTTTTTGCTGGGTTACCTGGCAGTTTGCATGATGCCAGGGTTCTGCGTTTGTCTGCATTATGGGAGCTGGCTGAGAGAAGACATTTGTTTGCACAGCAATACAGAAATATTAATGGACAAGACGTGGGTTTCTACATCCTCGGAGATGCAGCATATCCACTGACAAGCTGGCTCATGAAGCCTTTCCCTGACAATGGTTTCCTAACAGCACAGCAGCAGGTATATAACCATAAAACAAGCAAGGCGAGAGTTGTGGTTGAAAATGCATTTGGCCGATTGAAAGGAAGATGGAGATGCCTGCTGAAACGCAATGACTGCAATCTAGAAAGGGTGAAGTCCATGGTGCTCACCTGCTGTGTACTACACAACCTCTGTGAGACCCATGGTGAGGAGTACAGAGAGGAGTGGTGTGTACCTGGTCCTTTCCCCCAACCAGATGTTACACACCAGGCACCTGTTGCAGACACTGAAGGGGCTGGAGTTCGTGTTGCCTTGATGCAGCATCTAAACCATTTTGGTGCCAGCTAAAATGTCCCAGTTATAATTATTACAAACCTAACTGTAAAAATTGTGAAGAAACGGCATTGTGACTGCTCAGGAGACTGATTTCTGAATGCAAAGTAGTAGTGTATGTGGCATGTTTAATAAATCATTTTAAATGGTACACTATTTTTGTCTGTCCATGTTTTTTTCATGACTTCATAAGCTAAATATACTACATTACATATACTAACAGACAGTTCTCTTTTTTTTTGGATAAAAATACCTTTTTGGGATAAAAGACGTCACAAATTTTTAACAGCTGCTGTTTCATTATGTTCTGAGACAAGGTGATTACCAGCACAAACAGAAAGAGTAAGCACACATCTTTTTTTCCACACTTTATTTTTATAAACATATGTCAAATAGAAATAGTGTCTCTTTTTAAATAGACAAATCGTAACAACTATATACAAACATAAAAAAAAAAAAAAAACACTTAAAAAAACAATGTGCAAATGTAAAAAAATAAAACAAACCATTCATAGGGCTAGTCCAGAGTAGGTTCACGTGGCCGCTGTGCACCTGCCACTAGCTTGTGTGACCGGTGTAATCTGCGTTGTGTTTTTTCTCAGAGCAGTAACCAGACGGACATCAGTTGACGGTTCGACTCTTCATTTACTGATAAAACATCATGGTGGCCAGAAGGCCCTCCATAAAAAAAGCCTGCTGACGCCGTGCCTCTGCCTCCTGTATAAGCAGCCGGTCACGCTCCTCAGCTTCTCGCTGTGCCTGCTCCATTAAAATGTCAATAAGGCTTTGCATTTGCTCCCGACTTTGTGTGCGGTCCACTTACTCTTTCTCCATCATGTCTTTCACCAGACTTACGACAGTAGCATCAACCTTTCGTCTCTTTGCAACTAAAAGAGAATAAGGACATGTTAACTACATTGTATTCTACTTTGCAAAAAAGTAGCTGTGCATAATGTTCTGAGACAAGGTGATTACCAGCACAAATAGAAAGAGTAAGCACACATCTTTTTTTCCACACTTTATTTTTATAAACTAATGTCAAATAGACATAGTCTCTTTTTAAATAGACAAACTGTAACAAATATATACAAACAGTAAAAAAAAAAAAAACACTTAAACAACAATGTGCAAATTTTTTACAAAATTATAAAACATTTATAGGGCTAGTCCAGAGTAGGTTCACGTGGCCGCTGTGCACCTGCCACTAGCTTGTTCATGGTGGCCAGAAGGCCTTCCATAAAAAAAGCTTGCTGACGCCGTGCCTCTGCCTCCTGTATAAGCAGCCGCTCACGCTCCTCAGCTTCTCTCTGTGCCTGCTCCATTAAAATGTCAATAAGGCTTTGCATTTGCTCCCGACTTTGTGTGCGGTCCACTTCCTCTTTCTCCGTCATCTCTTTCACCAGACTTACGACACTAGCATCAACCTTTCGTCTCTTTGCAACTAAAAGAGAATAAGGACATGTTTACTACATTGTCTTCTACTTTGCAAAAAAGTAGATGTGTAATATATATATATACACAATTCTTGATGCATTTGTTTCCCTAACCTGGTCTGACAGGTGGTGGAGAGACAGGGCGGCTGGGGGTACTGCAAGACGTATGAATGAGGGGACTGCATAGAGTGCCACTGATGTCCATCAAATTGGCATCACTATGTTGTGCCTCTGCAACAAAAGAGGACTCAGGTGCTGTACCTAGACAAAGACAGAACAACATTTTAGAATTACATAAAGATAACATTTACTTTTTTTTTTTTTAAATAGTGTACATATGCAGTAACACAACATACAATGGTTGCAAATAAAGGTCTTTTTATGCCTGCCTGGTTGGTATGTTGTACTTATAAACTTATTGAAAAGATATAAACAACTGTCCTTTTCACCTCAAGTTAACGTGTATGACCTCATGGCAAACACTTTGGGTCTGACACTGTGGTTGAGCGCTACACATAACAAACAACGCTCGACTGGAGCAAACAACACTATATTCTCTTTTAAAAGCTTATAAAGATTAAGTAAGCGTCTTTATCATACCATGTTAACAGTTCGGTTTAAAACACAAACCTTCAGCGACGGAGTTGGTTGGCGAGCTCTCTGTGGTCAGCGTCCCCCGAAGCCCAACAGCTGAATCCTTTGTCCCGGCGCTACCAGAATAAGCCGGTCTGTGGCCAAGAATGCTATCCAGTAGCTGGTACCACTTGCTCGATTTTCTGTCGGCGCCGCTCTGATTGTTGTGGTCTTTAATTCGTTTGTAGTCTTATTTTAACTTCTTAATTTTGTCACATCACTGCTTAGCTGTATGCTGGATACCCAGCGTCACTAGCTGAGAAGCAATAGACGCAAACACCTTTATGTTGCGCTTTGTTCCTTCGAATTCCAACTGGATTTCCGCAGTTGCGTAAATGTTCAAAAGTGCTTGCACTTCAGCGTCCGTCCATCTATCGCTGTTCTCCATACTTGCGAAATAAGTTGACACAATGTTTACAATATGTTTACACGGCGTTTTAAATCATGGCGGGTGAGGGCGTTTTCGTTGATGGACGAGTGACCTCTGGTGGCGATCGGACGGAAGTCCATGGACAGGATTCTTAACAACACCATTGGTATAGGACTTTAGGACATGAAATAAAACAGTTATCTAATAAGCATTTGTTCTATTTTATTTGGGTTTGTTCATATGGTTTTTTATTTTTTTTAAGAATAACTGTTTTTGTTTTTCCAAAGCATTGTTAGATGCCAGTGTTTCATATCATAGCTTTGCAAAAATTAGATTTCAAATCAGTGTTTAACCTCAGAATGATCTCAAAGTAAAAAGAGGTGCTCTGGTAAAATGGTAAAAGTCTGATTTTGTGGTGGCTGTGCTTTAAATTTGAATTATTATAATCTTCACTTAAGTGAAGGATTTTGAAAGTCTGACAGTAATCAGTGTTGAGTCCTACTGTAAGGTTAACCCTGCCTGTTTTAAATGTTTCAAAAAGATTAACAGTTGAAAACATTTGTTAGAAATGTAGAAAAATAATCAAAATGTAATCAGTTACATTACTTTAACAAAGTAATTTAAATAGTTACACTACTTTAAATACATTTTAAATAGAGTAACTTGTAATCTGTAACCTATTACATTTCCAAAGTAAACTTCCCAACACTGGGTGTAAAAATATTTAAACCTAACCGTAAAACTGCGATACACCACCCACGGTATGTACTCTTGTACTCTCATAGTGTACTTAACACCCCAGCCCAAATAGTGAATGAAATAGAAAATCAGAGTGACAACTTCCAATAAATGCACAGCACAGGCTTGGCTATCTCATGTCTATGTCCATGCATCGTTCTGCAATCGACTACAGGAACAAAGCTCAGCAGAAGAAAACATTTGTTTATCTCCTTGAAGCAAAAGCAGTGTAAACAAACAGGAGCATAAGCATAAATAAGCATTTAGTGGAATTCTCTCTTAAATTTAGCTGGAGTTTCATGTTGCTATATAAATTAAGAAATATGTTATTAAGTTTTTGGATCTCTAGATTGATTTATGACTTGAGTTTTACATTTACATTTAGTCATGATTTTTAGCAGATGATTTTATCTAAAGTGACTTACAAATGAGGACAATAGAAGCAATCAAAACCAACAAAAGGGCAAAAATATGTACAGTAAGTGCTGACAAGTCTCGGTTAGCCTAACGCAGTACTTGTAGCAAGGGTTTTTTTATAATAAATAAAAAGAAAAAAGTAGATAGAATAGGAAAAAAATAGGGAACGCTAGTGTTGGGAGGTCTTTTTTAAATAAAAATAAAACAAGTCAAAAGAGTAGAAAAATAATAGAGAATGCTAGTGTTAGAGTGTCATTTTTTAAATAATAAATATTTAAAAACAGGAAAACAGAAAAGAGAAAAAAAAACAGGAAAAGAACATTTAGAAAACAGGAAGATTGAATAAAAAAAGAATAGAGAATGCTAGTGTCAGAGGCTCTCTTTTTTAAAGAAGACAAGTAGTAAGAATAGAAATAGAATAGAGAGTGCAAGTGTTAGAAGGTAAAGTGTTTTTTTTCTTTCTTTCTTAGAATTAGAATAGAGAGTGCTAGAGCTAAAGGGTAAAATTTAGATAGATCAAGATGGCGCCGCAATGGCAGCCACAGTGCTGAGCTCCGCAATTCTTCTGCTATTTTGTTTAAAAACATTAAGCAACACATCCCAGACAATATTTTTCCGGTTTTCGATTATTCAGACGTTTTGTTGGACATTTTAGTCTGAGGTACAGCGGAGTTGTTCAAACACGCAATCAGACACAGAAGAGGGACACGCACCGGCACGCTGGTTGAGCTCCGTGAGCGTGGCTTTCTAACTGTGCTCCCAAGCATTCATCTTGCGAATATCCATTCCCTTCCTAACAGAACGGATTAACTACTTCTCATCCGCATCAACAAGGACTTTTCAAATTCTGCTGCATTGTGCTTCACTGAAACCTGGCTGAGTGAAGCCATTCCAGATAACGAGCTTCATCTGCTGGGCTTCCAGCTGTTCAGGGCAGATCACATCGAGTTAACAGGGAAAATGAGACTTGGTGGATTGTTTTTCTATATCCACGAAAGTTGGTGTTCAGGGCCAGTATTCATGGAAATTCTTAGAGCAAAGTGTTGCTCCTAGTGACAAAATTATAAGAAAAATCTTAGAAATGTGGTCATTTCCTCTTAAAATTGAAGAAAAGATCCTAGTAAAGAAGAAAGTAATTCAGAAAGCATCTTAACCCTTAAAAGAGCTTTTAAGGTCCAAAATTGTTAGGAGTACTGACGAGGACATTTAAGATGCTTAAGAGTTTCTTTAGCAGTGTAGAAAATCACGAAACGTGAAGAGGGAGAAGAAATGCATTGAACACAATGTATGACAGTGAGTTAATATGTCACTACATATTAGATTGTGCAAGTGATCATGTTTGACCGTGATCATGTGATCAGTGATCATGACCGATATTATTAGAGACATGCTAACATCTCCAACACAGTCTAAAAATGCCATAGCACCAGAAATGAAAGTAATCGCTACATTAACTACAGCCATGTTCACACTGTCAGTTTTAGGGATTGACAACCGCATTTCCTTACAGGTGTGAGTCTCGAAATTTCCTGTTCAAACAGTAGCTTACAGTAGCGTCTTGAATACAAGCCCGTATATGCACTCGCATCCTTTTCTGCATCTTGTGCATGACACTGTATTTGAGTCACGCACAGAACAAAAAAATGACAGAAACCTCTCCAGTGGAGAACAGTGACTGGATCTAAGACCTTCAGATGACGCACAGCTCATTTCTCCGTTGCTTTTACTCACCCAGAGTGAAACCACAGGAGCAGATCTCGCACTGTACTACAACTAGTTGTCCAGTTCATACAGCATATATTTTCCGATAATGCAGTTGCGAGTCCTGAAAATAGACAGGTGTGAGTTCGGTTATAGAATGCAGTTGTCACCCCCGTAAATAACTGTATTGTGTGAACGTAACCATGTAAAGGACTCAAATACAGGACTGACAACTAGGGTTGGGCCGATAGACGATGCCATCGTCCTAAACTTGTACATGTCATCTGAACATTCAGGCTCCAGTGTCATGTTCACAAAAGCAGATGTCTTAGTTGATGAGCAGGCATAGTGTTTTGCAATTTCTGAATCAGGACACATTTTCTTAAATAGCTTTCCTGTGTGCTTACAGACCTGGAATGGCAGGTTATGCTCAACGACGAAAGATGTAAAGTAAACCTCAGCTCTAGTGACCTTCTCTGTCAGATGTTGTTTTTCTGCTGAAAAGAACTGTGAAATACTTGAGCAGCCTTCCCTGCGCTTAGCCTCCCTAACATGTTGTGGTCCCTAAAAGAAATAAAAGCAAAATATGTATCTTATTATGTTTATGTAATTAGCATTCCTATAGTTCAGTACATACAACATTGTGCTAACCATCTAAAGGTTGTAGGTTCAATTGCCAGGAAACACACATACTGATAGAATATATAGCTTGAATGCACTGTAGTATGTCATGTCTGCCAAATGCATAAATGTACATGTTTTTTGTTTAGTGATCTTATCAAATATGTAAACCAAGTTGGGTATATATAGAAAATGTGGCATTAACCATGACTGGGAAACATTAGAAAAACTTGGTGGGGCAGCATTATTATGTAATGGCTGGTTAGACTTTATATATATATATATA